AGTTCCGTATTTCTCAAAGGCTTTTTCACCTTGGTCAGTCTTTTAAAAAAAAATCTCTACAAAAATTTAACTTTGTGTCCAACAAACTCAGTATACTCTGTGTCATGTCTCAGGCATGTGCATCATAAATAAAAATACAAGGCCTACAAGCTTTACTGAATCACCCAAAGTTTCAGCCTATGCTAAAGAAGAATTCAACTCAGTTTCTCAAATCTGCATCTTTACAACACACTAGAAAACCAATGGCAAGTAATACACTGAAAATACAGAATTACAATTTTGACCACACAACAGTGTAAGGTTTTATGACTTATCTTCGCATACTGATGGGAAAGAGACTTCTGATGCTATGTTTTAAATAGCTCCATACATATAAAAACAACCTAACTCAGAATTTGTAACAAATCTTAGTTTCATTTCAAAGTATGAGAACTTTCAGGAAAAAAAAAAAATTTCATATTTTCATTAATTCTGAGCTTACAGAACATGGAAGTCCAGTATTTACAAATTTTAAATTAACAGAGATGACGGACTGTGCACACAGCTCAGCTTCCAACACAGCTGATATCAATCCCTATACTTGAGCATGACTTGCTTCCAATATTAGACAAATCTTTTGATATCAGGCAATGAATCTCATATACAGTTTCCAGCAAGTACACTCAGCTCAACAGAATTTACAAGTCACATCTTCAGTCAAGAAAAAGATAATTCTCAGAAGATGTTATATTCTCTTGATATATGGAACTTAAATCACGTATAGGGGAGTTTAAAGATGCTTCCAGTGGTCGGTTCTGAAATGAAAAGCTGTAGCTAATCTTATTGCTGTTTCCCTTCTTCTCCTCACCACTGCCCCCTCCCCAAACTCTCCTTTCCATAACAGCGAAACTGTTGGAAACATGTGCTGCTCCAGCACAAAGCCTGCTCGCTTTGCTGAAGCTTTCAACCAAGGCACAGTTAAATCCACATATCACTGAATGACCTACAGCGCCTACATAGAGAGGTTCAGGTCTGCCTTCCCCAACGCAGAAAAATAACAGTAACTCTGCCATAGGGACAGAACAGAAAGTGAGGACTAAAGCAACTAAATTCCCTATGGCACAGCTGTAAACACCCTAAGAGAGCAAGAACACACAAGTAAGTTACTACAAGGTAAAACATAACATGGACATAGTGATAACTTGATGTTTGCCTGCCTAGTACTAGTGGCTACTAGTCTGTCCTTGGCTCACCAATGTCACGCTTCTCTCGTGCTACTGTGTCTTGTTATTTCTTGGTGTAGTTACGCCCTTACGGGACTAACCTGTCTTCCGAACTATCCACCATAACATCCGAAATAATCCCAGCACAGATATCAGCCAAAGGTTAAACTATCCACTCGTCCATCAGAAACAGCTTCCACCAGACCTGTTTTCACTCATGTGACAACTTCAACAGCTGCAGAAGTTTGAAACTACAAAGCTCTTAAGCTACCAAGTGCATCTCACAGAAGACTTTTCAGAAATAGCAGTATTGGTAAAACAGAGGAGGGTTTAAAGCAGTCACAGCTGAAGAAAGTTCAGCTGGCTTCCCAATCAGTAAAGCCAACTTCAGAGCACTAAAAAACATCTTCTTTTTTTCCTGTTTTCTGGCACATCTGCAGGGAACTCAGGTCCCCTTTCCTTCAGCATTACACACAAACCTCTTACTCTTCACATTGCTCCTGGTAGTTCTTTTAAAGAGAACATTCAGTTACTCCCATCTGCCAACACAGCAGCTTTGATCACCTGTTTATCTGCACCTTCCCATCCTGTCCTTACTAATAGGAGCACCTTTCCCAAATCAAGTAGTAAACCCACTGTCCTGCCCACAAGTCGTCATTCCAACTCACAGCATCTGGACAGGCAGCCAAGACCATGTGGTTTTGCTTACTTTCATAAAGTAGCAAACAAAACACTTGAGCTGACAACAACAAAACCCCTAACAAATCATAGAATGGCATAGGCTGGAAGGACCTCAGAGATCATCTAAACCAACCTCCCTGTCATGGGCAGGGACGTCTCTCAACTAGACCAGGCTACTCAAGGCTCCATCCAACCTGGCCTTGAACACCTCCAGGGAGGGAGCATCTACAACTTCTCTGGGCAATTTATTCCAAAGTGTCACCACCCTTGTACTGAAGAATTTCTTGCTAAAATCTAATTTAAATCTGTTCTCCTTCAACTTAAACCCATTTCCCCTTGTCCTATCCGTGGACACTCTTCTAAAAAGTCCCTCCCCAGCCTTCCTGTAGGTTCTCTTCAGGTATTGGAAGGCAGTTATTAGGTCCCCCCGAAGTCTTCTCTTTTCAAGGCTGAACAATCCCAGCTCCCTCAACCTGTCCCTGTAGTAGAGGTGCTCCAGCCCCCAGATCATCTTTGTGGTCCTCCTCTGAAAACGCTCCAACAAATCTATGTCTCTCTTATGGTGGGGACACCAGAACTGGACGCAGTATTCGAGGTGGGGTCTCACAAGAGCAGAGTAAAGGGGGAGAATCACCTCTCTTAACCTGCTGACCACGCTTCTCTTGATAGATCCCAGGATGTGGTTGGCCTTCTGAAGAACTAGTCATTAGAACAAGAGAAGCTATTTGCCGTCTTCCCAACTTCCCATCTTATTTAGACCACCACTGAAGCTGAGTGGTAATAAACTGTTTCGCAGCAGCCCTGTTCTGCTACACATTCACAGAAACCAAAAATCTGGTGGAACGCTGCCCATGACAAGGGCCTGCACATGG